TTACAGTTACCTTTTCAGTTACGTTTAATTACTCAATCATTTTTTAGTTACTTACTCCTTTCCTCTATTCATAAGTTATCTTTAGTTGTTTCTCAATTTGCTTCCTATGCATGTACCTTTGATTTTACTGATTTTCATTTATTTGTTAAATATATTTCTACTTGTTTTTACAGTGATTTTACTGATTTTCATTTATTTGTTAAATATACTTTATTGTTAAATATATTTCCACTTGTTTCGTTCTAAGAACATCATAGCAAGCATAGCGATCTAATAAACACACCACGCCTTTTATTGTATTTATCGTACTTTCTCCATTTATTTATTTGCGATCAAGCCGAGATGCAATCAATAACCGATCGCATAAACGAAAAATCACCATTACACGAACGCCAATTGTACAAACTATTTATCTCGCTCGGTCTGCACAAATGGTCTGTTCCACTCGGACGCTGAACGGCGTCGTTCTCCGTAATGGACGTTTCGTTCTTTCCGCAGAGTGTGGAACGCGGGTCGTTGGAAACTTGACTCGTTACGCTCGACTATCAGGGAATTTGATTGATGGCCCGTGAAGAAGAGGACGCCGCGTTCTAACGCTGGCGCGCGTCGCGCGGCAAAAGTGGGTCGGCACGGAAACCGCGGCTCGCACGCGCCATTTTTCACAACGAAAAGGAAAGCCATCTGGACAAAATCTAGCCGATTTGCGTAGGCTTCTCGACCGTTCAGCGGGCTGTAACGGTGCTCCGGCCTACTTCGGGCCCCCACTGTGCGCGAACGCGAACGCGAGCGCGGTATAGTTTCGGCGTGTAGTCACGGGCCGCCAAGTGACTCGCGGACCAACACGATGCAGCTCTCCTTTTCGCTCACGCACCGATCGGGCCCACACGTGCGTCCACGTACGGCCATTTCATTCCGATACAAACGACACTTACGAGTCGACACACTGGGAGTTACTATTTCTTCTTTTTTTTTTTTTTTTTTTTTTTGAACCGTGCGGGGTACATACAAATNATGGAGCAACTAGGAACGATTTATTTGTAAACAATTGTTGGTTAATTGAAATTTTTAAACAGCTACGATTAATTAATAATCTACGATTATTAATTTATGATAATATAATATTTTGTAGTTTACTAGTTTACAAATATATACAACTACACCCGCAGCGTTATGGAGCAACTAGGAACGATTTATTTGTAAACAATTGTTGGTTAATTGAAATTTTTAAACAGCTACGATTAATTAATAATCCACGATTATTAATTTATGATAATGTAATATTTTGTAGTTTACTAGTTTACAAATATATCAATTTTTGGTAAATTAGAATCGACTAATGGAAAATAAAAGTAAGATGCTTGCTGAAACTATAAATAATTATTGATGTACGATATGTAAAATCTTATTGCATTGTGTTTATATTAGAGTTTTGTATTAATTTTATATTATAATTATACAACACTCTTTAACGAGTTAAAAATTTCCTCGATCGCCGATTCGCGAGCCATTTTTAAATCAACAGTCTCTTTCTTTCGTGACTAAATGAAATTCAACCCATCGACCTTGAGCATCCGTATATCGGCGATCCTTCGAACCCTTCTTAACCATTTGCGATCGGCAACTGATTGGCGGACCATAACGAGTGACCAACACCGTATATACAATAATTCGTCGCTCCCTTTTCGAAGTCGTCGATACGATATCACTGGATAGAAATTATTGAGAAGTAATAAATTTATTATTTGCTTTGCCCGGGTTATACTTGAATATAATTAAAACTGAGAAAATGTTGCAATTTTGGCACGTCATTCCAGCGCAAGAGATTAATTTTTGAAAAGGAAGAAGAGCTATTGGTATCCGTAGTTTTAATAATAATGAAAATAATAGTTTTAATAATAGATTTAATAATAATAAAAATAGTAATTTTCATAATAGATTTAATAATAATAAAAATAATAATTTTAACAATAGATTTAATAATAATAAAAATAGTAATTTTCATAATAGATTTAATAATAATAAAAATAGTAATTTTCATAACAGATTTAATAATAACAAAAATAATAATTTTAACAATAGATTTAATAATAATAAAAATAATAATTTTAATAAAAGATTTAATAATAATAAAATAATAGATTTAATAATAATAAAAATAATAATTTTAATAAAAGATTTAATAATAATAAAATAATAGATTTAATAATAATAAAAATAATAATTTTAATAAAAGATTTAATAATAATAAAATAATAGATTTAATAATAATAAAAATAATAATTTTAATAAAAGATTTAATAATAATAAAATAATAGATTTAATAATAATAAAAATAATAATTTTGCCAACAATTACTCGTCGGTATGATATCACTGGATAGAAATTATTGAAAAGTAATAAATTTATCATTTGTTTTGCCTGTGCATTACTATACTAATACTAATATATATATAATAATATATATATAATATAATTCTATTATTATTACACTATCAAATACTATTATTATTAATATTAATAATAAATATTAATCATACAGATAATACTTAATAATGCTATATATTATTAATATCAATAATAATATAGGTAATACTTAAAACTGAGGGAAACGTTGCAATTTCGGGACAAAAAAAATCACCTGGTACGTCATATCAGCGCGAGAAATTAAATTAATCCCGGTCCGAAGTATCACCGATCGGATCCGATATAGTTTAAAACGTCGTGTGACAAACAATATCCGGGATGGAGCGTACGCTTCCACGTACACGTATAAAATCGTAAAGTCCGCGTAAATCGATAAAATTGGTCAACCGAATTGGTCGCGTTGCGAGAGCGCGCGCGCGCGCGCGCAGATACCCGGTGATCCCATTGATAAGTGGCTCACCGAGACATTGTCGTAGGCCCGAAAAAGTGGGACTGAGCGCAGGCGCGTCGCGCAAGCTGGTTTCCCCTGATTCGCCGAGTCCACGCCATTGGATAACGGTACCCGGTGAACACGTCACGGCTCGACGTGGGCCTCTGCCTCCCCCCTCCTCCCCCCACCCTTCGTCCAACGGTCCCTGAGGTGGGGACTCACCGTGGCTCGTCGCAGTCGACCATTCGCAGTCGACAAGGACGGGCTCTAACCGACGACAAGGACGGACGCGGCGTGTTCAAGGAAACATCGGTGGGGCAGAAACGATGGCAGGAGGAGGGAAAAGAAAGGACCTCGTGGTGGGCAGCCGGACTATACGTATGTGCCGACCATTTGCATGATTCCCATGACGTGCTGCTACGGGCCACGCGGATGTGTCAATCGAAATAGGGGAAAGAGCCTCGATTCGCGTTTTTCGTGGCAGGACATCAGATTCCGATCTCTGATAAAATGCAGATTGATCTTGATTCTTTGTGTAACAGTCACCTTACGGGGAAGATTTATAAATATAAATTGTCATTGGACGAGGAAAGCGTTTGTTTTCTGGACTTTGTCTGGTGACAATGAAACTTGAGAATTTGAAGGTTCAACGTTCTCGTATTTTATTTGATACTTTAGACTCAATGTACAAAATTGATTTGCGATTGGAGACTTGATATTTGATCTTCACGAATGGATAAAATCCAAACTATAATTCAAATAGTAAATTTATTATGTTGATAAATAGCATATAACATTAAAGTATTGTTATAGTAAATTAAAATTTCATTACAGTTCAGGTAATTTGTATGAAAATTGAATATTAAAGTAGTGAAACATCGAGTCTCCGACGTCAAATGAATTTAAGTATTACATATTAAATTTTGCAGTATGGAGCGAAGCCTCTCTTGTTTGAATCTTTTTTATTTTATATGTTAACATCTGAATTGCAGCAAGTGTGATGATTTTTGAATAACAATAATACTAATGGTATTAGCTGAACATTAGATCTCAAGAACCATCCCATTGAAATTTTCTACCAGGATCATCATTTTGCTGAATGAACGTTTCTTTTTTTCTTGTTCTCGTTCCTTTGTCTATTTCTTAATGGCCGACAGCATGCGGTAGCTAGTTATTCGCAAGACGAAAATGTATTTTTAAATGCGGCAATTTGGTTGGTCGAGTGTACCCAGCCATAGTTGGCAAGCGTGCCACTAACCCAGTTAACAGGAGCAAGTCTTTCTTCTCGAGAGAGAGAAGTGGTATCTGCCTACTTAACTTCGCGATACATGTGTATTTATACGCACCCGTATTATATACATGTTTCGCCTGTGTACATGCACACGTATATATATATATATATATATATATATATATATATATATAAGAAAACGTATTGTTTATAATACCACGCAAGTGTACACGCACCGTAAGAAATAACAGACGTTGATCCGTTTATGTGTAACACAAAGTAATAGTGCGGTTTGCTCGCTAACCTATCTATTTACCCACCGTATAATCACAGCCGCGAGGATGTCGCGAAATTGGCTTGATATTGTTTCACCTTTTCCGAAAAATTAAGAGAAAGAGCACGTTAACGTGCGAATGTAATTCTAAACGTTCGATATAATTTTAAATATTCGACACGGTCGTTGAATATATCAAATAAAAAATATAGCATCGAATTTCCATTGTTGTAGAAACAATTTTACAGTGTACAGCTTCCTAGCGAAATAATTCCTAGACCCTTTTTGGTCTTTAACCAGTTGGCGCTGGCCAACCGATTGCGGACCGTAACGAGTGACCAAATCGTACACGGTGATTCGTCGCTTCTTCTTTCTGGACTTCCTTCTGCACGACATCACCGGACAGAAATTACTGAGAAGTGATAAATTTATTCCTGCCTGAATTATACTTGAACATATACTTGAAACTGAGAAAATATTGCAATTCCGGGAGAAAAGATTCTTGCGACGTGCGTGGCAAGAGGTTAAGAGGAAATCTCGTTAGCGCAGTAAGGTTTTCATAAAATATTAAATCGCAAGGTGAATGTTTGCTTTTGTCATCGTGTGTATATATCGTTTACTATTGTACACTCATTTTACAGGACATGCGTCCGAAGCTATCGTTGTGTCCACGATAAACATCCCAAAGAAAACCGAAATTCGTGTTACAGGTCCCCGCGGCGCCGTTGGCGGTTGCAGTACCCCCGGCAGTAGAGTGGATCCCTGGTGGAATCCTGGTTCCCTCTTCCCATCGACCCCTGGGCCCCCAAGGATCGACGAGGGGGCACCGGACAACGGTAGCGGTGGTTTCCAGTTCTGCGGTCCACCGAATACTATCGCGAACAATCCGTCGCAATCACATCATTCCAACCAACGTCACCATCAGCCGAGTCAGTCGACAACCGGCAGAAACGTGTGCACCAGCTACGGTATCGCCTCGACCGCGTCCTCTTCGTGCTCGTCGTCGAGCCTCGGTCACGTGGACACGGTAGCGCGAGGCGCCGATGCCGTAGCCTCGGCCAACAGCGTGTACGGCATCGCGACGACGTCATCGGCCAGCAACTTGATCCTCTCGGCGCTCTTGACCACCACGTCCTCCGGAGACACGCAGAGTCAAACGTCGCGAGCTGGTGGCCCAGCCACCTCGTCGACGACGTCGCACGGCCTCGCGAACGCGAGGACCATTACCACCACCACCACCACCACCAGCAGCAGCAGCAGAAGCAGCAACAATAGTAGCAACGTGTCAGCAGATTCCTTAAACGGTATCCTATCGTCTCTAAACGTCCGGATCAAGACGGAGGAGTATCCGAAAATACGCGCGGAGGAACGAAGAACGACAAACGCGACACTTTCATCAGCGTCACCGTCGTTGTCTTCGTCCTCGACGACGTTCAACGCATCACTCCTCAGCACCTTGCTGTCCACGTCGCGGATCTCCTCGGCTACTACCTGCCGAAGCGACAGCGAGGACGACATTCTGTCGAGATCGTGCATCAAGCTCGACTACCCGACAGACCCGCAGCATCAGCAGCCAGGCCAAGATCAACAACAGGAGGGACAACAGTCGGCGGTGCGTGGCATCAAGGTTGAATACCCGCTCAGTCATTCGTCGCAGGACGTTCTGGACACCGGCGAAGAGGAGGAACTGGCCGCCACGTCCCCCTACGACATCATTGCAGCCGGAAATCCCAGGTGTCTGTCGGCGAAGCAGGCCACCACAGGCAAGAGCCAGGCGAGTCCTTTGGTGAAGGACGTGATCGTGCCACCCTGTCCGGGCGGTGTGTCGCCGACCTCGGACATTGTGATCGAGATGAAGTACGAGACGCAGTCAGGCCCACCGGCGGCGCCGCCTCATCTAACCTCGTCTGGCGTGGAGCCACCGCACAGTAGTCAAGGAACGGGCATCGTGGTCGGCGGCTCGCCGGCGGAGGTTGTCGGCGTGGACAGTTTACTGTTGTCGCCGTGGGGCGCGACCGGGCCAGACTTCCTGGAGCCTCCCGACGTGAAGCAAACGGCAGCTGGTCTGCAGGATGCTTGGGACACTCTGCTTCTTGGCTCGTCGGTGGGCGTAGCCTCGGCGCAATCGTTGGCAGAATTGAAACCGCTACCGCCATTCACCGGTTACACCGGCCACTTGAGTATCAACGGTATACCCGGTCATCACTATCACGCGATCGCGTCTGCTCAGAGACCGTCGTTACCCTCCTCCTCGCCCACGTCCTCCTCGAATCAGGAGTACTACGAGTCACCGGTTGTATCCTCCAGCACGCCGTGTCCGCAGGGTAGTCAGAAGCAGCAGCAGCAGCAACAACAACAGCAACAGCAACAGCAACAGCAGCAGCAGCAGCAGCAGCAACAACAGCAGCAACACCATCAACATCAGCAGCAACAGCAGCAGCAGCAGCAGCAGCATCACCATCACCATCATCATCATCATCAACAGCAGCAACAGCTGCCACAGTCGACGCAGCAGGTGGATTACGACATCGAAGACATAGCGGAGATCATCGGGTCGGCGATAGCGGACACGACGGTCCCCGGTGGTGGTAACGGGCCAGGCTCGGAGCACGATCCGGACGCGTCGCGAGACTGGATCGACATCGCCGAGTGGATCGACACCGCCTGTTCGCCAAAAGCCCAAGAGACCACGTCGCCTAGCCCGTACTCTCAGATATACGCGACGGCCACGCCTTCCACGCAAACGCAGCAACACGGCTCCACGTTGCAGAGTTTGCTAACGCACGGTTACGCGCCGTTGATCAACGCGAGGTTACAATCGGCGAACGCCGGCCTCCAAAACGCGTCATGCGGCGAGACACCGTCGTCGACGAGCCCCTATCCACCTGTCAGCCCGCCCGGCCGAGTCTCCACCTCCTGCAGCCCCGATCACCTGCTGCACTCGTCGTTCGCGACGCCCTCGCATCCGAGAAAGAGGTCACGGCCAACACCGGGCTCGCAGAACCCGTCGAAAAAGAGCCCGGGCACAGGGGCGGCGGCGCTCCCCTACGGAACGGAATCTGGCCTGATTGGCGGCAAGGAGAAACCCGTTCACAGGTGTTCCATCTGTAACCGAGGCTTCCTGAACAAGAGCAACATCAAGGTGCACCTGAGAACGCACACCGGCGAGAAGCCGTTCAGGTGCGACGTATGCGGCAAGGCATTCCGACAGAAGGCGCATCTCATCAAACATCAACAAATTCACAAGAGGATCGGCAGGGACTAGATGAAGCTTCTCTCTCTCTCTCTTTCTCTTTCTCTCGCCGTGCGTTTCCGTGTGTACCTAAACTACTACTGTAAGTACCTATTGACAAAGTAGCGCTGATTGGTGGCCAAACCGTGGACACGAGGACACGTGTGACGTGTGACTCACGTGTTTTCAAAACGAACGACGAACGTGTCGGCGAGATCAAGTCGTCCAGGAACGGGCGAATGACACATCGTAGCTAGCGTAGAAGAGAATGGGACTCGAGCAGCTCGAGGTTCCTTCGAGATGGATGGCCACTGGATGGATACGCGAAACTGAATCCAGGAAAAGTGAGATGATCTCTCCGTGCTGTGTTATATCGACGACGATGAAGGCGAGGGCGAACCCCGCTGGTCGCAATATATATGCGGTGTGTACATAGAAATACGTGTCGGTAACAGAGCACACGTGCGTGCGCGAAAATATATAACGTAGAAAGAATCGAACGATTACAAGATGTGCAGTAAAATTAAGAAACGATATATACATATATATATATATATATATATATATATATAATTTCTTGATTTTATATATATATATATATATAAAATATACATATATATCGTTTCTTGATTATATATATATATATACATACATATATATATAATTAATACGTATAATAGATATATATATGTATATATATATATCAATTATACATATTAATTATATATATGTATGTATATATATATATATATATAATCAAGAAACGATATATATCGTTTCTTGATTTATATTTATATATCGTTTCTTGATTTTATATATACATACATATATATATATATATATATATAATTAATATGTAAAATTGATATATATATATATATATATATATATATATATATATATATATATATAGAGGTGTAAGATATGCATGTGTAGACGTAGAAGGAAGTGACGAACACTACGCGAGGATGTACCTAAGCCCTTCCAAATACGTTTTTAATTTTTATCCATTTCTTTTTTCCTCTATTTTTTTTTTTTTCTTCTTCGTTAACTAGGTAGATTCTGTCGCTTATTTCTCTTTATTTATATTGCTTTTATATTATACAATTTCACGGCCTCGTCGTCATTTCCGCAGTCCTTCTCTGTCTCCTTATTATTTATTTTCACTCGTCCATGTCTCTCCCCCTCCCCAGTTGGTCCTTACCTTTGTAAGATAGTAGATTCGTTTTTTTTTTATTTTTTTTTTCTAATTTAAGTTTGTCATCCCTCCCAAGCAAGTCTTCTTCCTCTTTGACGCGTCGTACGTGACACAGTTTTAGAACGAAGATACGACAACGTTGCGCTGCTCTTTGCAGACATTTGACAATATTCGTATCTGTCTGGCGGTTTGTTTACGGGTTTCGCCGTATCGTTCTTTCGGAATGTTTCATCCTTGGGAAGCAGCGTTTATGCGTGTTTTAGTTAATGGTCGTCGAAGGGCAGGGCAACGAGCCTTCGATGGATCGACCGGAGGGTGATAACTTTTTCTTATCTTTGTCGTCGGGAAGGAGAAAAGAAGAAAAAGAAGAAAAGATTTCGCCAATACTCACTAGTTCTTTTTTCGACACGATGATCGAGACAACATTGATTATTAATTTAATTCGATCGTCTTTCCCTACTCGATCCACGAATTCTCGTCAACCATTGTGCCCAGCGTTGCAACAATGTGTGTCGCTGGCTGACTGCGGAAATTTTGTAATTTGTATAAAGTCAGAAAGTTATGGATTTATTTATAAAGCTGTCATGTTCGATTAAATATGATTGTTACCGTAACCATAATGTTGCCAGTTCGTTTCTTACTACTTCCCAACCGATTCCTTTCTTTCGTCGCTCGTGTCGGATTTTCATGGTTGTTCGAGATCTTTGGAAAATAATCAGCTCTCCAAATAATTTGATTTGTCGAGTCAATGTTATCTTGGAACAACAATTTTCGAGCAAATTATTCTTCTTGAAATTATTCCATTATTTGGTTATGTCCATTATTATCACTATGATTGAATTGAAAATGAAAGGACAACCGAAATAATCTTATTTTTACATGAGTTGAGACTTTTTCTTTTGCTATAAAGATTCGCGCCTTAAAGCGTGTATGAAATATCTATTTATACATAAAAGTGTTTATTATTAGTATAAAATATAACAGGTAAGATAAATTCTCATTTAAGTTTCCGTTTCCATAAAAATCGGCAGTTGAATTAAACGTGCGGCATCATGTTCGAAAGATTAATTAAAATATACTTTCACCAAAACTTAGTAGAAAAGAAAAAAGAGCAGTGAAAGCTGGTAACTAAAAAATTAAGTAGGATCCAAATTTAAAAAAATTAAGCAACTAGTAGAAACATGCAAAAATTAATTAGCAAGAAAATAAAAAAAATTAAAGTTTTTATTTAATTAAAAAATTAAAATCCAAAATGAAAAACACAGTGGAATATTCCAGTAAGAAAGATAATGACCAAAGACTAAAGTAAAGGCTAAACTGAGAAGTCAAAAAACCGAAAGATCTCTGTACGAAAATAAAAAAAATAAAAAAAAATGGATAGAGAGGAGAAAAAAGAAAATTTAGTTCAATAATTTTGGCTTCAGTTATATTAAAATTAGGAAGATATGGTTTATTATTACGAATTATATATATATATATATATATAATAAAATTTATATTTTATAAATTCTATATTAATTTAATAATAATTAATTTATATGGTATATTATTTTCAAGAATTATATGTTTATGTCAATTAGATACAAAATTAATTATTGCTATTTCTTCTATTGTTCATCAAAAGATTCTTTTCCTTTCTTTCGGAGAGTTGTGTGATGGCATCGACGGTGTGTTGCACTTCACTATAAGCGTAGGCCGCGCGAAATGACCATCTTCAGTAATGAAGTTTGCCATTTTCGTGGAAGCTTAATCGAAGCGGAACGTATCGACATTCGCATGGTGAAAGTTGGCGAGTTATTTCGTCCGAAATAATCAGGCTGTAATACTTGACGACGAAACGTACCCTCCGCGTATTTATGGGACTAGCCAATCAGGAACCACACCGGAGGAGATCTCGGTTGCGTGTACCGCGTATCCGGATCTCCCTCTCACGTGTACGTGCCCGTTTTCTTACTTTTATTTCGCTTTAAGTGTGGCACCGGCTCCGAACAGGCCCACACGTCCGGGCTCTGCGTTTCATTTCGCGTATAATGGCCACGATGTTGCCGTGTTTGACACAATTTGACAACTGTTTGGTAAATACTCGCGACAATTGGGACTTGAATTGTCGTGTAACAGTTCGACTTTCCTTCGTCAAGTTCGAAATTCATTTGACATTTGATTTCGTCCAAAGTATTAAAGTATTAAAGTATAAGTTGGAATAATTGATAGATAATTTAGTATATGAATTCAATTTAATTCGATACACACGGTCAGTTCAAGAGTTAATTCAATGTATTGGAATATGCGAGGCAGTGAGAATAATTTTGGATTCTTGTCCATGTAAATCATAATTTACTATAGTTTCGTGTAGTAGCCTTTGTTTAACCTCGATTTGAAATTTTATTTCGTTTAGAATATTTTTCGATTTAGGTAATAATTTAATATTGATCAAATATATTAATATAATAATAATAATTCAGTATCAGTGGCAAAAGTAGTTTTAGGTCTTCATCTAAGTAAATTATAATTTAAAGTCGCGTTATAACTTTATTTTCTCCGAATGTCGAATTTTAAATTAATTCGAGGGTTTAAGTTTCTAATTAAGTTGCAATTTCATTCCATTTGAAATTTAATCCAGTCCGTGATTTTATTTTAGAATAGGAATGGAATATCTCTTCTGCGTTACGCGACTCGCCTATGATACTTAAATTTCAATAAAATGCAGGAGGAACAGGGGAAAATTTATCATTCAGTAAGATACACAATTCGCGAAAAATCATTGAATGTTTGAAAACTGTAAATCTATAAATAAAAATGAAATATAAAATAAATAATGAGAAAGATAAATCTATAAAATCTAAAAAAATGTGGAAAGAAAAATCTATAAAATCTAAACTAAAAAAATGTAGAAAGATAAATCTATAATATCTATAAAATCTATAAAATCTATAAAATCTATAAAATCTATAAAATCTATAAAATCTATAAAATCTATAAAATCTATAAAATCTAAACTAAAAAAATGTAGAAAGATAAATCTATAAAATCTAAAAAAATGTAGAAAAATAAATCTATAAAATCTAAAAAAAATCTAAAAAATCTATAAAATCTGAAAAAATGTAGAAAGATAAATGTATAAAATCTAAAAAAATCTAACAAATCTATAAAATCTAAACTAAAAAAATGTAGAAAAATAAATTTATAAAATCTAAAAAATCTATGAAATCTAAAAAAATGTAAAGAAATAAATCTATAAAATCCACATTTCCAAAATTTCATTAAAAAATTACTTCGATTCGATCACACTGTATCACATAGTTGTGTCGTCTGTTTAACAAATTCCATTTTTCATTAAAATCGAATCGAAAGACACGAAAATTGTCCGAGACGTCTATTGTATATATTTGCATCTTTTCCCCTCCCTGTTCCCTTTCGTTACGTCTATGTATCCGTAAGAATACACTTGCTCCGTAACAATAATTTACTTCTTTTCTGCTTGAGATTAACCTGTCTTTTCCTCGCGATTTATTATCGTTTTCTCTCCGTTCCATTTCCCCAATTAAATAATAAGTAGAAAGTTTTTCTTTCGGTCGCTGTATTATTATTACGCGATCTTGTATAATTCCATTCCCTCTAACTCAGTAGGGAATTCCCCAGTTTCTCAATGGATACCGACTACGCTTGTACTAAAGATCTCATTTTTCTCAGCTCGTATCCGTTTTGTGTGCACTGGATCACTGGTAAGCTCTATTCGATCATTACGTACATCGAATTTCACAAATATCAAAACACTTGCGAATACTTAAATATTTACACTGAAACTAACGATCGAAATGATCAATTTCTGACTTTTGATGGAAATTTTATAGATGATTTTACAGACTATATGGTCGATCTTTTGTAAAACATTGCTCACGAACAATTATATAGGAATATTTTATGAATTATATATATATGTTTATATATATTGTACAAAATGTAATATAATATTTTATGAATTTTGAAATTTCGTTGACAATTTGATGACACTGGACTGTCATAATTACACTAATTATATAGGAATGTTTGTACGTCATACGAAACGTAACATTATAATATTTTGTGAATTTTGGAGCTTCAATGAGATATATATCATAATTACATTAATTATATAATTACATTGATTACATTAATTATATAATCATTCATTATATACTAAGGTTATTAACAATTAATATTAATAATTAATACTCATACTCCAATAAAAAAAATTCTATGATAAAGTATTTTTAATATAATATTAAAAATTTAATATTATAATATTATAAGAAAATTCTATGATAAAGTATTTTTAATATAATATTGAAAAT